GGCGGAAAAAGCGGCGTTTGTCGGAACAGAACGCCGTTTTTTTCGGCGTTTTGAATAATTAAACGGCGTTTTTTACGCCATTTCTTAACCAAACGGGTTAGGAAAGTGGCGAATTTTGGTTCTAATGGCTTGCCATAGCTTGCGTCCGAAGCCTCGCTGCCCGGCTGTACCACGTGACTGGTTCAGGAAGCGGTTCGAACTTTGCCGCGAGCTATGACAGCGATATAAACCCCTCAGACCCCATTCAAAATGTGGGCGTTTGATGGAGAGTTGCGGTTAGTGAGAGTTAGAGACAGTTTGGAAAAAAAAAGAAATCGCCTACGACCTGCCACAGTGGAGAAACTGTTGTTTTTAAATAAAAACCAATGATGTGTCCCCTAAACACTAATCACTGTCCTTGCCTCAATGTTACAAAAGCACAACCACTGTCCACACCTCACCTCACAATATATCATCATTTCCATTTTAGGCATTTCCAAATAATCATTTTCCATACTGCCAGGATAAATATACACAGTATACTGCCATCACTACAATATAGATGTTATACACACTCCTTTTGTTGTTGACATTTTGTAACGTGCGGTGGAGATGAAGCCAGCCGCGGAGGTGTGCAGGTGGATAGCGAATGAGCAACAGCTTCTGACTTTCCAAAAAGTACTCATTTATTTACAATATCAAAAATAAGTGCTACCTCTACCACACATTACTGAAGAGCAGCTAACAGACTTAAGATGATTCTTGACTCTGTTATTGATGAAACACAATCTGGCTTTATGCCCAAAAGACACATAACTAACAATATCAGATTGGTTTTAGATATTCTGGATTATTCTGACCTCATAAATTGCAATGGTTTCATATTATTTTTAGACTTCTACAAGGCCTTCGATACAGTGGAGCATGAATTTATATTTCAAGCTCTGGATAAGTATGGTTTTGGCTCTTACTTCTCTACAGCGATTAAAACATTATACCATAACAGTAACAGCAGTATTAAATTAACAAACGGTACTTCACCCAGATTTAACATACAAAGAGGGATAAGACAAGGCTGTCCCATTTCTCCATACCTGTTTTTGTTAATTGCCCAACTATTGTCTATCCATATGAAATCAAGCAATGTAAAAGGTATATCACTAATTGGCAAAGATGTACTCATAACACAGTTAGCGGATGACACTACATTATTCCTAAAAGATGAAAATCAAATCTCTATTGCTATTGAAACTATCTCCATATTTTCCAAAGCTTCTGGATTGTACTTGAATATTCCTAAATGTGAACTTATGGCGATAAAAGAATGTTCAAAAACAGCTTTGTGTAACATTCCAATAAAACAAGAAGTTCGTTATTTAGGTATCATAATAACCAAAAATCAGGAAAGTAGGATCACTCAAAATTTTTATCCTATTCTAGAGAAACTCAAACGCAGATTTAATCAGTGGCTCTTAAGAGATTTGTCGTTAAAAGGCAGAGTATTAATAACTAAAGCAGAAGGCATCTCTCGTCTTACATAC